TTGCTTTTATTTCTGAATTGAACTTCCAATGAGCAGGAATCACCTCCCCCAGCTGAGTACAAAGCACTATCTTTAAATCCAGGCAATGTCTGACCTTTTCGATGCTCTAAATCACTCTGTTGCATAACTCCCGCAAGCTGTAAAAACAGCGTGTGGCTTTATTATCTGCAGATTCAACAACTGTTAATCATTTCAAGGGATTTCATACTAGGTTTTTTCTACAGCTGAACGCCGACAAACCAATAAGGAACTTGCCAACAAATTTTATGCTTGCGACAGAATTTTTTTTCTATAAAATGCTAGGATTTGGGGGATTGCTTCTTGATCTGTAATATAAAAGCAATATCTAGTTTACGGACACTTCTCTAGATTAATAATTTGTACACTGGAAAATATCGCTGGAATAGTGCATCCCGGGTTTTGATATTTACCCAACAAAGCTGCCAATTGCCTCTTGGCATGGATGGGTGTATGAAGGGTTATGAATAAGAATATTTGGTCTCTTGTGTCAAAATTTTGCAGCCATTTTTCTACTCTCAACGATCTGTCTTTTTACCCTTACTCTTTCTTAGAATTGAAGCTTCTTTCTTCCGTTCCCTTGACCCTTGAGTAGACTTCAAGTACAATCTGCAGTGCACACCATGAAAATCCTGATTTATGTTGGAAACCAATAAGGATTATTTTCTGTTGTGAGGTTTAGATGGAACGCTGATATATAAAAATCAGCCTGTATAGATGTACTTTTGAAATCCATTAAAAAAATCAAAGCCTTTTGTGATCATCTTAATTATTCTGTGACATTATTCTAGTTTCCTCTCTGAATTGGATTAAGGCACTTTTCTGCATCATGGGATCCTGCTGTGCGTAATTGGCTGCCGAGTTTTGCCAACAAAATATGCAGTCAATTCACTTTACACTATGTTCTGTGAAGCGTTTTGAGACTTCTCAAAGACGTGATAAGGCGCTATATCAAATGCAAGGATTATTATTTGGTGCTGGCTGGGTACTGAAAGTAGTCTGCTTTCACTTTGAGGATTATGATCTGTGTGTATAATCTAATCGCCATTTATTCATTTCAGATCAAAACGGTTAATATTTATACTGTACTTAAATGCATTATTTATTCTAACTTGTCAGAGCACAAGACTGTTTTGAATCAGCCCTGCTGAGATGATAATAATTGAAGGAGCTTGTCTTGCGGCTGCGGGATTTAGTTGAGAGACGTTTCCGTGGAGAGAATGAGCGATGTGAATGTTTGAGTGGGTGGAATTGGAACCCAAGGTTCATCAGCGTGTTTTTGCACAGCATCACTGAGGGGAGAAAACATGTAAAATATTTGAGCTTAGCTATTTAGTGATATAAAACTTGACCGACTAAAAACTTTATCTACTGCCCGCTCCCTCCGTTCACTGGGCTCTGGCCTGCTCCCTGCACTCCGCCCTGTCCTCTTGATTCCAAACTCCAGCTTGGGTACAAGCCCTCGACTGTCCCACACCTTGGGACATCCTCCTGACGTGAAAGGCACTATATAAACGCTATTTGTTGTTACTTGTCGACTTTTGAAAATATTGTAATTGGGACTTTCACCAGATATGCCACTTGCAATAATTCTTTCTATAAAACTAAGTTTGTTTGGCCGTGTTACTTGGTGCTGAAATCCCGAGTTAATGACATGAGTGGTGAATTTAATATCCTGGCTGATACATTTCCCAGTTGGGTGACTTTTTTATTTTTTTTAAAAAAAGGTGATTTCTCAGTTTATAAACTGCACCATTTTGTACGGCGATGATGACCCTTGCAAACGAGGAAGGCCCCAAATCTGGTCCCTTGTCTGTGCTGAATTGGAGGATCTCGGATCAGGTAGCAGCACGTGACCTCCTCCAGCTGGTGATAAATTTCAGGGCTGTTTTGTTTGCAGCAAAACATTCAGGGCCTAAATGAGTCTCCTATTGCTTATAATGGCAGACACTTCGTACGTGGCTTGAAGCTCAGTATTTACTTTCTAATTTTTGTTCCTAGTTTACTCGCAGCAGCAATCTAAACTCCACATCATTGGAAATTACCACTCTGCTCCTGGCAATTAAAATGTGACATTTTGGGAGTTTCTATTTACTTGATTTTGGCACTGGTGAGGCATTACACTAAGTTCACAGGATATTCTGGGAACCGCAGGCGTTCTCATTGGAAATTACTGGATGGTGGAGGGTTAAATAGGGTTTGGTTGTCGAAGTCTCGACTTACCAAATGTAGCAGTACTGTGGGGCGAGACGGGCAAAAAAGTAGAAATTCTAATTGGTAAATGTGAGTGGCGTGTTCTATATGTATCGTCGCAATTAGACTGATCTGAACATTGCTTAATTGTGGAGTATGGATGATGGGTTTCATGAAAATGATACAGGCCATATGAATAATTACAGCGAGCGTAAAACTGTAATGTTAAGTGCTTTTTTCCTCTTTTCACCCTGTAGTCTTTCATGCTTTTCTATCACTATGAATTGTGAACCTGCCCTGTCATCACTTGGTTTTCTCTACTGTCGAGAGAAAGATTGCTGTTTAAACAATAAGTCCATGTGGTTGCATACTGACTTGTTCACCAAACCAGCATAATATATTTGTTAATATATTTGTTTGTTTGCAACTGCTTAAGACAAATTTGAATGCAAGTTTGAAAATATTCTGGTTCAGCAACATCTGTGTGTTTTTCCTCCACATAATCATTTTGTGTATTTATCTACCTTCCGAATGTTGACTTGCTTAATCATAAGGATTTAAAACACAAACAAATGAATTTCTTGCTTGGCAATTTGTTGCTGCCTCTCATATTACCAGCAACGCTTTCTCTTTTTTTTGCGATTTCTCATTTGTTGTTGTTTTCACCTCTTACTACTTCATGAGCTTAACTCTGCTTCTCTGAACCAGCTGCCTTCCAATTCCCCTCAATGTCACTCAGACTGGATGTTCAGTGTGTTACTGTAGGACTATTTCTGGGCGTTTTTGATGTTGCACTTTCCCATTTGTATGTCCGCTTCTGATCGCATTATGCAAGTGAGGTAATTGAATCAACTCGTTCATCTTTTTTGTCATCAACGTATTGGGAAAATAATTACTTTCTACATTATTAAATTATGAAAGCACTCAGCGCAGAATTGATGGCTTTTTCTTTCCATCTGCCTGTCATACTTTTGTGAAGAACAGAATGCATGAGAGTTTCAACAAGGCAATTTAATACCTGCAAAGAAACAGAATTCTTCCCCCCCTTATCCCTGGTATTTCATAGCTGAGATTTCTTTGAAAAGTTTTAATTGCATGTTCTGTTAAGGAATTATTCAACATTCTCTCAAAGATGCACAATTGGAGGAAAGCTGATTGTGTACAAAGACCTGGTGCACTATTACAACCTGTTAGGGTCTTAATGATGCAGAGGACCCTGGGTCTGCAAATTTTAGTGCAGAACAAGGATTGAGGATAGGAATCTTGTGCATGATTCTAAGTTGCTGACGTTTTATAATGTGGTGTGGAAAGGAATTGAGGTGAATGTACATGTGAAGAGACTTTCTGATTTAATGTGAGACCAAGTGTGAAATTGTGAATAAGATAATCCAAGAAGTATCCCGAGAGAGAGTTCCGCAGAGGACAGCAAGTGATGAGATCAGCTGAAGGCAGAAAGAAGGATACTTAAATAGAATTGACTTTATTTACACCTTCATCTCTGAAGGTCAAAACTTGCGAGGTATGGTGAGTACAGGTGGAGATTATTGGTGAGGTGACTTTTAGAACAATTGTTTTGTTTAGTTCAAATTTTGGCTAGGGTTGGGTATTGTGGACTATCGAGTAGATTGCAGTTGCCTGATAGTTGAACCTGAGACTGTGCCAGATATCTCCATGAGCCAGAGTTCCTGCTTCCAATCACTATTTGGTGCCCCCTGCCGGGAAATGCTCTCTCTTTTCTTTATGACCTTCAATTGTACTCTGACGTTATGTCTTCTTTGGACATGGTTCAAGAATGGCACTGATAAGGGTCTGAGAGCTTTGGGCAATGACATGGAGTGAATGTTGGCGAAGCTAACAAATAACTTAAAATAGAGGCAACAAAGGGACACTCTTAATAGGTGAACAGATGTAATAAGCACTTGTGAGTGTCTGCAGTGAGTGGCAGGCTGTCCTGATCACGTCTGCTTCAATAAGTAGTAATAACCGTGAGCATGCCAGAAGTTTATGATAAGGGAATGTAAAAAGCCAGTTTAGCTGTCCTCTGATTCAGAGGAGGATGTGGTCAATGTATTGTGCGGTGTTAGATTGCAAAGGGATTCAATTGCATTGGAAATAGCACTTTAGGTGCTGGCCCAGTGTAATGCTGTATGTTCAAAAATCCCAAAGCATCAAGATTGTAGATTTTAGCCGATGAGCACAAGAATGGGGCTTGATCCACATTCCCTTCCCTGGTGATCAGTATTGACTAATACTTTTCTTTCGGAATGCCGTTGTGTAGACAGTTACAAGACATTCAAGTGGATGTATTTTAAGATTTATGCATTATGACAAAAGAACCAGAGGGAAGACAAGGAGATCTTTTTACCAAGAGAGTTGTTAAGGTCTGGAATGCACTGCCTGAAAGGGTGGTGGAAGCAGGTTTGATGATAATTTTAAAAAGAGAATTAGAAAGGTACTATTGTATATAGTACTGCTTGGTTTACCATAGGTCCTGAGTGATGGTGGTCTAAGGTTCGTGTCTTATAAGTGAGAAGTATAACGATACCTGCAAGAGTCTTCACTAAGGGTTGGTGAGCCAGACAGGAAGACCTGTTGCGTTCAGTCAGTGTACTCGCTGAGAGAGAAGACCCCTCGTCTTTCTGCTGTAGATGGTTGTACAGCTGCTTTCGAGCAGCACAACAAATCAAGTAATTCAATCCATCTCCGTCACAGTGGGCTGTTCAGTTAACTGCTTCCATGTGTTGCCTGCTGTTCCCCTCACTTACGACCCTTTCCCTCTCTTGTCCCAGCCCCCCTGAGGAAGGCGAAGTTTGTGGAAAGCCCTCGAGTGCCAGAGTCGGAGCTCAGTTCCCCGACCAGAACCTCAGCCAAGAAGCCAGACTGGGACGCTTTCTGCCCTGGTAAGCATGTGCAGGCTTCAATTCTCCCATCAGCCAGTAGATTTGATGGTTGCACTATTGGGTAGGCTGGGACATACGTCATTCAAAAGCAGTTCTCAGCAGCACCTTGATGGAGTGCTGACGTGGGGAGCTGTTGTAATCTATGCAATGGAGGAACTGGTAATTGCAGTGTGCCCTTAGTACTATAATGCCAGTCATCAGGGAAAAGACCTGAAGGAAGTTGTAAACACGGATCACCTTATTTTAAAAGCAGCACTTAATCCTTCCACGATTGCATAATGCGTCTAAATGGTTCAGTTCAGAATGTCCTATTTTAAAGAGCCCAGCTGTCACTGGTAAGAATTGGAGTATGCAAATGATTTGAACCCTGGAGTGTGTGTGTTTGTGCGCCTGTTGTGGTCTGGCACAGAGCATGTGGGATTGGTTCTCTTCCCCTCCAAGGCATGACTTGAGTTGTGCAGCAGAGCAGAATTCTTCCTGTGATTAGAATTGTTATAGAGCCTCGTGAACGAGTTGGGCTCGAAATTACCAATAAGAATCAAACTATCTGAAAAGTATTGGTTTCAAAATGTTTTGCCCCGGTATGGAAACATTCACGTGCTTCAGGTTGTAAGCTAGTTCTGTCAATGTTGCCAGTATTTTTAATGCATAATTCTTCATCTGATATCACTTACCAAACCAACATACTTTATACGGTACTGTTCAGTTATGCTACAGAATACCTTTTGTATCTTAAAACTGATTCTATATGTGAATCAAATTACAAAGCTTACTGGGCGACATGGATAGTGTCTGACAAATCCAATCGAATCAAATGGCTGCGCTCTGTAGGAGGAGCTGTATTGTACATTTCCTCTTCCTAGTTAAAGATTTTTTTAAAAAAATTCTTTAGGTCTCCCTTTACCAGGTGTGATTACTTGGCTGAGAATGTGGGCTGCTGACCTGTACACAGGGCTCTCTGTTCCTACCACTCCTCACTGAACCGCTAGAGTTTCTCTCGTCTTGGGGAGATGCAGGTGTCTTTCTGACAGCTTAGGTGATACTGGGAATACTGGGCTGACCCAGCATCCTGCTGACAATGATGACATCGCCGCATACAAACATGAATTTCCTGTCTGCAGTGTGTAATGCAGTGGGACTCTCGATACATAATTAAAATGAAGATGGTAGTAAACGTTGGCGTGAACACAGATGCAGCACAGCACCATTTTAGCGCAGGCTTTCCCGAGTAGGGGAGGCAATGTGGTGGCAGTGCGGCAGTGTGTAAGTGACATATGCAGCAACCCGACGTTCAACAGCTTTCTGCTTGCAAGTGAATAAAGAAACAATCACCTAGTTACACCACTAGTTGGGATTTTATAGATCCTCAACTGCTGTGTAATAATAATCCTTGCATTTCATGTAGAGTGACCAAATAANTTTTTTTGAAGGGATTATTACCCCCTGGAACCGCGATCTACCAATCGACTAACAACTGGGTTCCTACTTACTGCTAAATAAACAGAGCCAAATGAATTGAACCCTGGTATAGGTATAATGGGGCTCTACTGCATTTTAGAATTTCTGTAAGATGCAAAACTATGTATTCTTCCTCAGGCAGGAGAACACATGTTCCTTTTTATATTTTGAGAGACGAGCACATTCAATGAACGGTAGAACAAAAAACATTGCTTTGACATTTTACAGCTGTTGTGTAGAGTGTAAGAACCTGATAAAGCAAGTTTGACTTGTTTTAGGCAACAGTCCTAACTGCCTCCTCTCGTATTGCCAAAACAAATATTAGTGTACAGTAACATGAAGACCGTTTTTGATCCTTCTGACCTTCAGAAGCAGGCACTGCATTAAACATATTTTACAGGAAGGCATAAAGCCATCTTGCTGTCACAGGTGAATTAATGCACAAAGCTTTCTGGATTTGTTTGCAATTCTATGAATCGATTTATCCAACCTTTCTGTATTGGCCAATGTTGATGCTTAGTGTATGCGGGATGCAGAGAAATGGAGTATGTGAGTAGCACAGCCTTTATTTCTGATTCAACCACAATAATACATTACATTTGTATAGCCCCATTCACATCTGGAGGATGTCTCATGCACAGGACAATCAGGGATTTGGATCTGAACAGGGGTTTGGGATGAGATGGGGTGGAATGCATAAGTAGGAAGGTATCAGTCGAAGAGAGTCTTGAAGGAGGCAAGGGAGGAAGCGAAGAAACTGTGGGATGGGGTTCCAAAGGTGGGGTCAGAACAGGCCGGAGCCAGACTCCCACAAGCCGATCAGGTATTATCTGAACCACTGTAGTAGCTGCGGTATAGCCAACTGACATTCCCAATAATGCTTTTTATACAACTGATCTGTACCTTCACAGGGAAATTTAAATTGTAAGCAAATGTATAATGCATGTGTGTGTGCGCTGTGTGGTAGTAGTCAGGACAGCAATTGTGGACTAAAATTTGAATAGCAGATGTGGCTGCAGAAATACACTGTACTCATTTTATTTAGCTTTGTGGCTAAGTAATTGATTATTTAATTTTGTATAATTAAAATTTCTAATTGATTCTATTATTGTAACCTTGGGGAATGCAGAAACTGATTACAAATACAAGCTCTCACCGTGCCTCACATTGATGGATTGCATGTCACTGCAATCGCCTGTATAATCAGCATACATAAAAACAATAGGATCCCTTCCTCTGGTTCGGCACAGTACCTTCAAGTCCAAGTGATACTGGACATTGCTGTGAACGTAATAAGTCACAGGCCATTTTATATCCACTCCCGATAAATTTGCAATCTTTTTGTACAGAAGATCTCTCAGCTAATTTCTATTCAAACAGCAACATTCCTGGTGAAAACATTGATAAAGGTTGCTGTTAACATCTGTTGAGAAAATAAACACACTGGTATTGTATGCTTGTGCCATATCCAAATCTGCAGACTTTCCCAGCTTGCTGAGTTGCTGCCCATCCTCCCTGTGTTGCTGTTTTATTTTAAGGTGTCTCAGTATCCTGTCGAAAAGATGAATGCAGCCCGTGGCCTCTGCGTTTCACTTGTCATTGAGATCTGCTACACAGTTTTTAAATTACTACCATTTGTAGTACCATTGAAGACACAGCATCTCAGCACTGCGAATGCAGCGCAACCCCGAGATTAGTTAGTTGCTGGAAATTTCAGCTATTTAGAACTCCATCCCTCATCCCACTGCTCTTGCGCCTTGCTCCCTCCTTTCCCTCCTTCAAGGCACGTCTCAAGACCCTCCTCTTCAACTGCACCTACCTCCAACCTCCCTTCCCTCCACCACTCCTGATCTCAACCCCCTGCTCAGATCCAAATCCCTGACTGTCCTGCACCTTGGGACGTCCTCCCAATGTGAAAGGTGTGATACAAATCTAATTTGTTGTTAATGTTGTTTGACTATTTTAGGGAAAGGAGAGCACTCAGGAGATCTCATCTCCCTGATGTTCTGGCTGCCCCTTTGGTTCAAGCATTCACTGCTGCAATCACCCACTCAGAGAGAGAGAGAGATGCCTCTTCAGTTCAGTGATCAAAGACTTGCGTGTGTATTTTGCTGAGAGCAATCGTTTTGCAAACGTTATTGTATGCAAGCAAAAGAAAGCTTACTGAACGAGGAGTAAAGAGGCTGCTGTGGTGGAGTGGAACAGCCCAGCCTTGTGTTCTTGTGGTGGTCTTCTCAGGACATGGAAAGATATTTCTATACCCTGACAGAATGCTATGCTGATCTGTGAATTATCTCCCTTCTACTTTTAGTCTCTTCCTGCAGTTACACCTCCCACGGTAAAAAGGGCAGGTTGCTGTGGGTGACCGAGGTCCCCATTGACACTGTCACTGGGATTCCATGACCGGGGCTGACTAATGATGTGCTGTTGTTTGGGGGCCGGAAAGTGAAAGCCGAGGAGGAGAGTGGCTTTGCTGCTTTATTCTTCCTGCTGAAATGAAACAGTCCATCACTGTAAATCACTGGTGAATTATTGCTCAATGGCTGGCAGCAAGCAGGCAGTGGCCTGGAAGTTAAAAGCTACGTTTGTTTCAGAGATCATTCAGTCCCATTGAACTAACACCGCATCTCAGTAGTGCCTGAATCGTAGCTGTTATTTCACTCATGTGACGAAGGAATCTAACAAGTGAACTCTTGTGCTCATTCTTCTGCCAGTCATAAACCACCAGCTTCTATCTCATTGGCTTAGTGCTCTTTATGTTGCGTTTAGCTTGCGAACAGTTTCAGACGTGATTCAATTGGTGACGGTGTGTAAGTTGCCTGTCTTAAGCATTTCGCTCACAAAATATACAGTCAATCCACTTTACCATATATTCTGTGAAGCGCATTAAGATGTCTCAACTCCGTGCTAAGGCGCAAATGTAAGGATTATTATTATATTATGCTGCCTCGGGTCACAAAAATATTGCTGGCTGGGGTTGTTTGTTGTTCCAGGTAGATCTGTAAATTCCATACTGGAAACTGCAGCTCATTTTCTTTTTGATTCTGAGGTGTTGGCGCCAGCAATGTTTTTTCCCTTTAATGCGGGGTGCAGCTGCTGGGATACGATTAACATGTCAGACATGTAGTTGTTTGTAAGCCATACAGGAATCTGAGCCATCGGTCCCTGCAGATGGGTTCTCAGCAGTCGTGGGCAACCTCCAGAGGTCCAACTGCACCTGCCAAACCACATGCGACATAGTGTGCGTGCAGGCGAATGTGCCTCAGGAGACTGCCAACTCGATGGAGCCTCAGCAAATGTTTTCATCTACATTTTCCTGAAGCAACACAAAGTATGCTTAGCAGAAGCAAATCATTTTATGGAATATAAACTGCAATGTTGTGTGTTACGGTAAAACGCCGTGATTTTCTTGTTTAACGCTAGAAGCCTGTGCATTTGGTAATGTCTACTGTAGTACAGGAGCTGAATCTCTCTGATTCCACTTGTCTGCCTGCCGACTTGTCACATGAGGTGTTGCAGCAATGCAGATGCCGTTTCTAATGCTGCAAAGCTACTCGCTCAGTCTTTCAGCACCTCTTAGAAACATGGACAGGACCAGCCAGGAACAAGATTGGAATACAAAGCTGTTTGTCCGCAACAGTCGCAGAATGTCTATAATGCGCAGCGTAACAATCTTGTAGGTTAATGAACAGCTGATGCTCCCAATATGTTCCTGCAACACCAGGAGGGATTTGTGGCATTTGCAGACGAGGAGGATGTGTGCGTGCTTGCTTTCTGCTGGGTTGTGGAGAACTCCAAAATTGTTATTGAAGATCATCGACTTTCCTTTCCGTTTTCCGTATCCATTGTTCCCCGTATACATTTAACTCCACAAACTGCTGAATGTCAGAAAATGATGGCAACTCTCTGAATATTGGAGTTGTTTCTACATTGTTCCCCTCGAGTAATACAGTATATAATCTTTTATTCAGCTCTATCGTATGAGATAGTGTCAGGTTGGCTAATTGAATGCAAATGCTTCTTTATTGCGCTGTAAGTATTGTTTGTAGCAAGTTTCAGTACATCAGGAAAACGGAATTCTTTTTATGTCAGAATCTGAATTCACAGGCAAGTTAAATGTATTATTGTTTTATGCACTTGAACTGCTCTTATTGTAATTGTAGGCTGTCACAGTGCACAGTATATATTGCATTCTTTCTTACAAGATTCGGTGGTAAAAATGAGCCATTAAATAATAATAATATGGTCACTCAATCCACGACTGTTTGTGGGACACTTGTGTGCAATTGGATGCTGTAATTCACCCACAAAATGTACAGTCAATATACAGTATATACTGTGAAGCACTTTGAGGCACTCTATCAAATGCAAGGATTATTATTATTAATCTTCACTGTTGTTCACTAAAATTTGAGCCTTTTGCTTAGATGTGTGAAGTGAGTACACCCTGTAATTCTTTTCTGTCTTTTGTCCTTTTGAGCTGCAAAGTATGGTTTCTTGTAAAAATGATGAGGCGGTTAGAAACATTACATAATCACCACTAAAACAACCCCCTCCTTTTTTTGCATAGGTGAGTCAGAACAGGAGCTGGGACCTCCACCCTCTGTGGATGAAGCTGCAAACACACTCATGACACGACTGGGCTTCCTGCTGGGAGATAAAGCCACCGAGGTTCAGGCAAGCACCGAATACAGCATGGAGGAACAAGACGAAAATCAGGTATGAATTACTTGAGACTAAGATTGAATGTTTTCTGTCCCAGACGTTCAACGACGTGATAAGGCGCTCTATCAAATTCAAGGATTATTATTATTATTAGCCAGTTAAACCAAATCAGTTGATCGAACTTAAGAATTTTCCACAATTCTGAACGCTCTTAAATTTTATGGCAATGGACTTAAGGTTATGCCTATGGGCCGTTTCAGATCTCAGTGAATTATTCAACATCCTAAAAGGCAGAGGTAATATGAAACCTAAAGTGTTTAATCTGGTCAACAAATTTCCATCAAGGGGTAAAGGACTCAAGCGCAGCAGCAAGAAAATGAAGAGCTATTTCGAATTTAATTACCTTTCATGGAGAGTGGTGAATAGCAGTGGAATGTAATACCCAGGGCAGAGTGGAGGTAGATTGTGCCATCAGATTCAAAAGGGAATTGGATATCTATTCAGTAAGGATGTTTATTGAGCGGGTGTGAGAGTTATGGTTTAGAATTGGTTTGTTTTGGTTTACTTTGTTACAGGCCAGACACGGCACAGTTCTGACCATTGTTGTATCCTAAATGAGTGAGTTTATTTCAATGCGATTGGCCTGACAGATCAGGGTTTATTCTTTTAGATGAGATGTCTTCAAACAAGTTACATCTTGTAATAAAATTACCCATCTGGGCTTCTGTTGCTTTGAAGCATGTTGTGGTAGAAAATGACATGCTAATGAACTGGAACGTCTGATAAATTCCCTCCATCGACCATGTTTATCTGCAAATTGAGTTTCAAATTTTATTATTCCAGCAAATGGATTGTCCCAGTTTCAAGCAGGACAACTGAATACCCTTTTGTGGATATCATTCCACAACAAGGACACGATGGTGCATGCTGTTCATCATTGTTGCCATAAGCATGGTTAAAAGCTCTCTTTGTGGACAGAGACTACTGGTATTTCAAAAATCTATTCCAGAGAATCAGTTGCAAGGGCTTGTGAGAAGCAATTAATTATAGCGATAATCGACCTTTCAATGCAGAATAAGGAACTGGGAGCTGATTAATCAGTTCAAGATGTTCCGAAATCCAGAATTGAACTGGTCATTATAAACATTAATAGTAAACTGGATAAAAGTAAACATGAGCCCACAGTAACAATTTAATAACAGTTTACATGGTATTGCCTTTTCGCTTTGCTAAGTTTGCTCAAGGCACATTTTTTTTTAAGCTCTGATCTTTTGTCCATTCTTGCTAGTTAGTTGCTTCCTTAAATTTGCTTACGTTCTCTGGGGCTCAGACCCATAATCTGGTAACTCATTGGACCTGGTTTCAAGGTATTTGTAAGAGGCAGTGGCCTAGCTGTGGGGTAAGAGTACATGTTGCAGGGAGTTGTAAAAGCAGGGGATAACTAAATACATTTCAACAGAATTTGTATTAAACTGCTTTTTTTGTGGTGAATTACATGCCTATTCCTACTAACGGGGAGTGAGAATTCGCAGGTCGAGGTACTGTGGAGATTTGCTGACGTCCTGTACTTCTCATAAATGCCTAGCAAGAGATTTATAGACGGGGAAGGTAACTGAGACCACTCTTAGAATAACACGGGTTAGAAATAACATTCAGTAATGTGGAGAGCTAGCCGCACATAAGGAAGGGCACGTTCAGTGCTCTGAGACACTATCCTCTGAAGGGTGCTGTACAAATGCAAGCTGCTGTTGTTCACCTAAAGGGTTGTGTTTATTTCTGCTGCTGTCCTATGCATTGGAGCTGGGTTGTTATTTTTAAGATCCTGTTTTTAGTGTAGGTATATATAACATGACTCAAGCAATATGAGGTTAAGTACTTTACTGTCATTGGTGTCAATCCTATGTTGTTGATTTTTAATAATAATAATAATAATAATCCTTGCATTCAATATATCGCATTATCATGCCTTCGAGGTGTCTCAAAGCGCTGCACAGAATATACTGTAAAGTGAATTGACTGTATATTTTGTGGACTTAACAACAGGGTTCCTACTTACTGTTAGGTAAAAACAGGGACAGAGGCGCTCAACTTTTCGCCCTGCCTGGGAATCAAATTTAGGTCCTCTCGCATGTGAGGCGAATGTTCTAACTACTCCACAATTGGGTAAATCTATCCAGGAATAGTCTGGAGGCACTGTGTTTGGATTCTGCCCTTCTGAAGAAAGGAATGAGGAGACAAAGGGAGAGGTTCTCAAGGTTGACAGTGTAACACGCGGAGGCTTCAGGGTCCTTGGGATTTAAAAACAACAGTCAGCCTGAGAGTTGTATAAGTTTTTATCTGTGATCTGTAGGAAGTGAATTGTGCTGGTAATTAAATCTGCTTTTTATTTCAAGATTTTTTTAAAAGGGTGCACATCACATAAAGCCACAATCTGTTTGACTGTTTCTTTGATCCTCTCTGGCACACGCCCAGCACACAACATCGTGCATACTTAACAATGTCTAACAGGATGTTCTTTATTTTATAATAGGTTAATAATTGCAACATCTGAAGCCCATGATAATCATGACACAGTTTAAACCCAGGGTAACTGAACGCATTGGTTTGCCTCGGTTTTATTGGGGCCCTACAGTAAGTGGAGCGCTGAGTGTTTCTGACAGAACACTGACTGGCTCAGTAGGGTTTTCTGATCAGTGACACTGGCATCACTAGCATCTACCCTCTCGAGATGTACATGAGATGGCAACTTTTTGTCTGATATGAAGAACAACACTTTTGTCAATGTAATAACACACCTGCCATTTTCACATCTGTGCGTAATTGGCTGCTGCATTTTGCCCACAAGGTATACAGTCAATACAGTTTACAGTATATCCTGTGAAGTGCTTTGGCACATCTTGAAGACATGATAAGGCGCTATATCAAATGCAAGGATTATTATTATTTTTATTATTGGTCCTACTTGACCATATTGAACTGCGTCTGCTGTCGCTCCGCGACCTTGTTTGATCTGTTCGTTTGCAGTCACCTGCCCTCTTCGTCACTCATTGCATTTTGTTTGGATTTTTTTTTTCTGCCTGTAAATTCAGGTTTTCTGCAGGTTACTGCTTCACTCTAAACAATGAGATGCTGAGCTCAGTTGGTTCGTTGAACGACGAGTGGGGTAACACTCATGTGAGAGTGGCATACGAAGCAAACGGCTTCTGTCCATGCATGATAATTAGACACATTGCACTCATTAGAATTGATTCCAAGCACATTAATTTGGTAACTCCAGAGGAGGCAGGGCCTTTTATGGTTACCGCTTCAAATAGTCTATGCTGTGACCATGGCAACAGGGCCTGCATCATGACCTTAAATTCCTAGGTTCAGCTCTGATCTAAAAGGATGTATTAAGCTTTTGTGTGAAGGTTTCCACTTCACTTTTTAATAAGGGGAAAAAAAATTAAAATGATGACTGTCATTTTCCTCTGTTTCTGACATACCTACTTTGTGACATTCGAGAGATGCAAACAGGAGTTTCTGGCAATAACACTTTTAAAGAGTGTTCTTCCTGTATCAGCACGAGTAAAAATACAGACCTACGTTACCTTCTTCTGTAGCACCTCATGATGATTTCTGATTTATTCTTAGGCACCTGCAGAGACCCAGCGAATCAGCCCGTGCTCCACATTGACCAGCAGTACTGCGTCTCCGCCTGCTAATAGTCCCTGCTCTACCCTCCCCACAGTCAGTACGACTGCCACGACCAAGGACTGCTCTTACGGAACGGTCACCAGTCCTACCTCCACCCTCGAGAGCAGGGACAGTGGCATTATTGGTAAGTCCTCTGAAATGTGGTTTGTACTTATCTGTGACAGTCAGAGGATTAATGGTCTAGACGTATTTGGGTTCTCTGAGGTCGCAGTGTGCCAGTTTGTGAGAGAGTCCTGATAGAATAGGAAAGCTCCACTGAGAAAGGAAATAAAATCTAAGGCAGCACATTATTTAAAGTATTCCCACTTTATGTGTATATAAAAAAAACATTCTCAGCCCTTCCCCTACAGTGAGGAATTCTGATCTGTAGAAAAACACTGATTGCTGTGCAATTAACCTAGATTCATTATATTCACATCAGGAAAATGTAGGTTTGATCAGATTGCAAGCAGCATTTTACTGACATGCTTGGTACCTATTAAGGGAATTAGATAAGGTCAGTTAATGGAATCTGAAAAGGAGAAATATAAATGGGTACGGGGAACAGGGAATAAAAGGATAGTTGCTGCAGAGCAGCAGAGGCACGGTGGGCCAAATGGCCTCCTTCTGTGTGATACCCATGAATGTACCCAAACAGCTGACTGATAACTCTAAAATAGTAAAATAGTAACACACTGTTGCTGCCCTCCAACATTGTACAATTAGCAACTGTCTTCAGCATGAAGTCATACACACATAAAAACAACACACCCTTCCTAAATGTACATATAACCTATATATGAAACTATATCAATGTACTATAATTTATGAAACTATATATTAACACAGAAATGTTTTTAAATCTATGGCACTTACGATATATAGATAGTGTCCAACGGATTTCATGCCACCGCTGTGAAAATTATATTGTAATTCAATGAAATTCACACACAGAGATTGAAGAGAATTTATATTGAAAAAGACACTGGAATATTCACAAGCGTCTACTTCCACTTTGTTCATTTTATTTAAAAAGTCCCTCATTCATTTTTCACGAGGTGGAGTTTTTTCACTTTTGCTTTAGAATATTCCTATAAAATATCACTATAACCAATTCACAAACCTGCTGCGAAAATCTTCCATAAGATACCTCCATTGCATTTGTCCCTATAAAATCGCTATCATTCCGAACCTATTCAAAAATAGCAACTGCTGATGGATTCTGCTGGAATATAGGCTGAGCTAAATAGCCTGTGCTGACACCGATACAGTGTTCAGTTTTCAAGTAATTAGCTCAGAAAAAGGATTCAAGGGCATTTTCATTTGAATGTTACTAACTGAAGTGGTTCATCTTTAATGCTGTACACATTGTTTGACCTTTTTGTGCTTTGTACTATACAATAAATGTATTCTAATGAGTACGCTGTTTTAAATGCTGCTGACCTGCATATGCAAGAACTCTGCTAATAGTAACCTGATGTAAACGAGGGGGGGGTTCAACAACAACATCGTCAAATTGCATTTCCATAGTGCCTTTCACGTCAGGAAATGCTCAACAGATAATGCTCAAGTTCGTTTGCACACCCCATAAAACAATCCTTCAATCTTTGCCCCTCATCTGCAGCCACGTTGACAAGCTATTCAGAAAATGTCGAGCATTCCAAATATGGCGGCGAGAGCAGCAAGGAATCAAGCTCGAGGGTCAACCTTAAGCCCTGGCATCAGAAATCAGGCCTGGACTCCTGCCTGTACCGAGTGGATGAGAATATAGCCGGTTCCACCTTCAGCCTGAATAAATTCCCAGAAAGAAACCTGGAGACCGTCTCATCTCAGTCTGTCCACTCCATCCCTCTCTACCTGATGCCTCGACCGAATTCTGTAGCAGGTAAGAGTCGAAGTTTAGTCTTCAAAATGTTTGAAACTGGTATTCAGTTTTTTGGCTCTGAACAAAATGTTATTGGGACCATATTAGAGATTTATTGCAGCTAAAATCTCAGTCAATTCACAAACCTTGGAGATGTAGACGTGGCCTGACGTTGTGAGCAAAGCCCTATATACAGTAAAAGTCCCGCCGCTTCCATGCCATGACAAACATTATTGGAATGCTGTCATCTCAAGTCACAGTGTTTATGATGTACTCCATGACAAAATTATTGGCCTTTCAAAAAAAAAAGTAGCTCTTTGAACATTAAAGTTAGTTAAAAATTATTGAAAAATAAGAGACCATTGGTGTGTACAATTGGGGTGTACAAGGTTTGAGTATCGTGATTTATGCACCTTTTGTAAAAATCTCCCTACAGTAATCCTTCATTCTTAAATTGGACACAACCCAACAAATTTTAAAATAAAGACTCAATTAAAAAATCAAAAAATTAAAGTACTTTTATGTAACTTTTCCCATTTCCCTACACCAGAATGCTAAGTATTTGCCTCCCAGTTGTATAATTAAAGTTTGCGCTGACCCTTTATACTTTACTGGCTAGAGTTCCTTTCAGGATTGGTTAATGTTGTAAGGAAGTGTTTTCCCTTTGATTGATTGCGCCTGACTTCCATGTAGCAGATATTAATCAAAGAACTCTCGAGCCAAGTACTTACTGCTCCTTTAATCAGGCGAAAAGAACAGAACCTCCCTCTTAACCAGGTAGTTTGGCTGCTGTGGGTTCCCTGAAAGCCTTTTGCTCACACACATCTACAGCTGCCAGAGGGAAAAGCTGGTGCTACAGCAGTCTATTAGAGAGCGCAGAAGCAAATTAGAAACCATAAAGCAATGGGAAAAATGCCAAAAGATTGGGAGGAAAAATAACATGGAGCATTTAGACTGGCCTAATGTGAAGGTAGTTAGTAAAAGCAAACTCAATTTGTGACTGAAAACGTAGCATGTAGTTTTGATTTTCAGGAAATATAATGTTGGGATTATATATACTTAAAAATACTTAGTACCCAAATTCTTAGAACGTTGTACAACAAAATTACAGTCAATGTAAAGTCACTGTGCCCAGAATCTATGACTGCTTTGTGACACAAAACATAGTCAATTCACATTACAGTATATCCTGTGGAGTGCTTTAAGATATCTCAATGACATGATCAGGCGCTATATCAAATGCAAGAATTATTATCACCATGATTTCTGAAGTATTACATTTGTTGCCTCTTGAGTTTGTATTTCATCACATTCTCCCCCAATTAGATTCTTTTATATTTTCTTTCCCCTTCATCCTGAACTATAACTACTGCAGTACATGATTCATAATCTCTGTGCAAGAGGCTCCTTCTTCTTAATTTAAAAAAAAAGCTTTGTGAAGTTCTCCTGGAGTTCTGAATTCAAACCTCGGTGTACTATTACTTCATGAGAAGAAAGGATCTGCCTTCATTTTAATTGGAAAAAAAAACCTCATTTCATCATACATTGAAATCTGTCATTTATTCCATAACAGCGCCACCTGTTCCTTTATTAAAAAAGTCTTGAATTTATTCCGTGCAGACCACAAATAGTCAATCTGTCTCGCAGTAATCTCAATGGGGAGCTTGCGAAGGATACAAAATAGTCAAGGCATGGCGGTGTTGGTATTAAATGATATGCAGTGCATTACATCAGTGTACATCTGAGACTTATTCTCTTGCTGTATCAGCAGTCCTGGGGAATGTTGTGATTGTTCATCACGGAATTGGCACTTTCATGTAACTGCTGAGATTCTAGCTTTTACAATGGTATTTCTTCAGTCCTTTATAGGTTCTGCACGTATGATATCACATCAAATTCCTCATGTGCCCCCAATGTTTTCCACAGTTCCCTTTTAATGACTTTTCCAGTAGCCAGAAGGTGAATTGGAATTTGAGATTGATATTTTTGTGGTTCGGTAATGTATGCAAGTTGAACGAAAATGCAGGGGAAGTCTAGAGAAGGGAGATTAGAGCAGCTTTTAAATGTGAATTTAAAACCGTGCTTACAGTCTCCCCTCTCTCCCCGGCTCAGAGTCGAGCTCAGCCACTGTTAAGCGCTCTGAGACACTACCCCACTCGCTATAGGGCGCTATATAAATGCAAAGTGTTTTGGAATACGTTCTTTGCTAAAAGTGTATTTAAATAGTGTTTATACTGTAGGTAGTCACTCAAAGGCTCTTTCCATTCTCGTTTCCTTAGAACAATTCACATAGAAATCCCAAGATTATTCTTGTCAAGTACTTCATCTTGAAACCAATTGCATTGTGGCAGAAAATGTGAGTTCTTGCAGACATTAACAGACTTAAACCACTTCACAATTTTGAGATGGGTGCGAAAGGATAACTAGAAAAAAAAACTCTTCTATTTCCTCTGGGTATCTTGATTTCCCCCACTGACCATTTTCTTACGCCTCAACTCATTGTGTTGTTTTATGTGTCTGTGTGCTTACTCCCTGCTACACTGCCCTCGAGTTAAAGCTGGTGATCGATATACAGTGTATGAAAAATCAGTAGGGTGTAGCTGCTGTCTTTTACACAGTACCTGAAACTGGGAATCGAGTGGCATTTTGTACATCTTGGGCACTGAATTCAAAATTAAATCATTTTCAGCAATGTTTCGGTTGCTCTCCTTCAGATCACGACCTTGCCTGTGTGTGTATACTCATAATTCCATCAATGATAAAATGTTGTGGTGAATTGCAGGATATTATAATTGACGAGAAGTTTACAATAATAACCCTTTGCATTTGATATAGCGCCATGTGTCGTTGAGACATCTCAAAGCGCTTCACAGGTTATACTGTAAAGTGGTTTAATTCGGCATACACCAATCTACACATGCTCTCTCGGACCAAATACTGTAGTAAATTTGAGTATCCCAATCTTGGATCTCACTGCATGAAGACATTCCCCAGATAAAATCAACATTCACTTCCCGGCTGTTTGTGGGACATCGCTGTGTGCAAATTGGCTGCTGCATCAGCCTCCAAAATACAGTCACTAAAAAAAGCCACTTTACACTAAAAAATTCTGTGAAGCTCTTTGAGAAATTTGGTTAGTCAATCTACGACTGTTTGTGGGACAATGCTGTGCGCCACCGACTGCCGTATTTTGTCCACAAAATACACATTCAGTCCACTTCACAATATATTCTGTGAAGCGCTTTTAGACGTCTCGATGATGTGATAAAGCGCTATATCAAATGCAAGGATGATTACTATTATTATCAACAGCGTTATTTGCTTTTGATTCAGCAATAGGAGTGCTGTCTGTGTTTTGTACTGACTGTTTTTCCCCAGTGTCTCTGAGTAACTGAGTAAGTGAAAATTTTATAATTTGTATAAATTGGTCTGTATATCTGGGATGCTCATTGTTTTTCAACACTACATTATGAATATATTTACATATTACCGCAGAAGTGTGTTGCCATTGAAAATCTGTTCCTTCCCTTTAAGACTAAATTTAGGAGCCAGTGTAGAAAGTTGTGAGGTTTGGACCATCTTATAATAATCCTATCATAATAACCCTTAGATTTTATTCAATACTTTATCACGTCATCTAAACGTCTTGGAAGCGCTTCACAAGATTTTACTGTAAATTGTAGTGACTGTATTTCTTAACCAGAAGGACATACGGTCTTTGGAGATTGTAGTCTATATATCAGAGTATGTTTAATGTACCTACAGGTTTGTCATGTTCTCAGAAGTGAGAATTTATGTATGTTATGGACAATTGCTTTTTGAAGACGTTGTGCTTAGGGAGTCCAGCAAAAAAAAATTCTAATAGATTCAGCATTGACGCTCAGGCTCCCATTACAAAGAACTGCTGAATTAGTTCATTGTATAAGTCCATGGTACATTTAGGTTGGGTTTACTGTGAGAGGATTTGATACTGTAGTTCTTCATAGAAGTTCCTCTTGCTCAACCATGAATAAAACATGGATTGTCTTTGGAAAGCTTTACTGTGACTTTCAAAATAAAGAACAGTAAGCACTTAAACATCCAGCGTCCCCCCTTTTCACAGCAGTGTTCCTCACCTTGTCCTTTGTTACCCACCAGGGATCTGAGAGTTTTATTGCTAGTTAAATGCCTTAGGGGTAATCTTTAATAAACCATTGCACCAAACAGCAAAGAAAGGAAGTTAACAAAATAACCCAAATATAAAGTGACACCTTTTTTGATGGTAAAAGCTGTTATTTGAAGCAATCTTTATTTGGGAAGGGAATTTCCCCATGGTACAGTAAATATACTGAATACTGTACCACTGGGATTAGATTGAATGGTTTTGCAAGCTTTGCCTTTAGCAAAAATATTCTGGAATCCCTTTACTTATTTTACTGATGGGAAGTGATTTTAGTCCGCATTCTCCGCCTACTCTGGCGGGTAGGTCGGTAACCAGAGGACACAGATTTAAGATAATTGGCAAAAGAACCAGAGGGCAGATGAGGAATTTTTTTTACCCAGAGAGTTGTTACGGTCTGGAATGCACTGCCTGAAAGGGCGGTGGAAGCAGATTTGACAATAGCTTTCAAAAGGGAATTAGATAGGTACTTAAAAAGGAAAGATTTGCAGGGCTAGGGAGTAAGTGTGGAGGAGTGGGACTAGTTGGGAGCTGAATGGTCTCCTTCTGTGCTGTAAAATTCTATGATTCTGTTACTCTCTATTCATGTTCTGCTCATTATTCCCGTTATGTATTTAGGATATTGTCTGCTAAACTAAAATGATCTATTTATGGATTTGCCTTCAAGTGAAATAATTGGATCTTGTTGTTGTCACAACCATCCTGTTGCTTTCAAAGCAGCTGTTTGTTGAAAATGTCACCATTCTATTAACAACTCCCAGGAAATGCAGTCACCCACGTGGCTGTTGGATATGGGATTACTGTGTTGTTCCTTCCTGGCTTTTTAAAAAATGAATAGTTCAAATTAAATTCCACGATTGTG